TGAGCCATATGAGCACATGCACACCACAGTCCCTCCTGCCCACAACACCACCCTAACAGTTTCAGCTCCTCAAACCAACACAGCCAAATAACATATCACATGAGTAGGGTGTATACACTCACAAATTTTTCTGCTGTGGTACATCAGGCCAGACAATTTCCAAGTTATCACTAAAATCTGGTCTGACCATGTGAAGTATGTCTTCAAACCGATCCCTCTGCACATATGCCATATTCATCAAAAGGATAACAATATAAAACTGTCATTTCCCTATCTAACATGCACAGGTCAGTAACATCTTACACATCCGGTGATGGCCATTTCTTGGGGGTCATATGTGGCTGCCTTCTTCTGCTTGGAGGTGGTCTTCTTACGCTGTAAACTTGCTCGCATGGAATCAAGGACATTAAACTTCTGGGTCTTTGGTTCGAATGCAAAACAGAACCAATGCTCCCCAACTAGAGCAGGACCCAGAATCAAGTCACAGTCACCTATGTTGTAGCCAACATAATGCGGAAGTATTTGTCGTGCATGCTGGTTAGGATCCCAACGAGCTGGATCACGGGTCATTATGGCCTGTGAAATGCAGAAAACCAAGTTCTTATTCACTGTAACACACTTTATTCTGTCATTTTCATTTCCAATCTTGTAAATCAACAAAGCCTATTAGTAATACAGAAACCTCACCATGAAGTCTGCATCAAATATATGCCTCTTAACTCGGCCTTCAACTGCCTGCTGCTCTTGCACCAAAGCCTTACAGACCAACGACATCACTCGGTTACTCACCCTGTTATTTCCACCAAGCGAATGCAGCAATCGTCGGGGGATGTCTTCATCAAACATTCTGATCAAAGGACTGAAACATATTCAAGTGAGTTACTAGATGTGTTATGTTAACATGTAGTCAACAAATAAGATCACATAAGCAAAGATTTTCACTTACATCTCACCCTCATCACCTTTGACAGCTCGGCTGACTAAGTTGAACAAAATATCCTTGGGCTCCATAGGCCTCTTCACTCTTGATTGTGCCTTCAACTCCAACCAAGGAGACTTGATCTTGCTGAACCGAACCCTAGTAGATCTCCTTAGTTGTTGTGCCTCCACAGATACAGGTTCTGGATCAGGCCCAACATATTCAACAATGGCCAGGGGGGATACCTCCATCGGTGAGTGACCTTCTGCCTCATCACCTTCAATGGTGGGTGACACTTCCCTAGGGGGACTGGCTGCAGGTATGTCACCCTCATCACCTTCAATGGTGGGTGACACTTCCCTAGGGGGACTGGCTGCAGGTATGTCACCCTCTGCATCACCCTTGTATTCCCTCTCCCCTTCGCTCCTGTCATCACCATCCCCTTGACCCTCTTCCTCCATCTCTTCATTGTCGCTGTCATTCTCTGTGTCGCCCTTCCCATGACTGTCTCCATCTTCACTGCTTACTTCATCCTTCTCCTTTTCCTCAGTTGTGTCATCATTGTTGCGCCTCTCCTCCTCATCATCTTCAGAGTCACTTCTATTTGTAGGCACTGTCTCAACCCGAGCCTTTCCTCTTGATTTACCCTTCCCACCATCTCCCTGTCTTGGGATTTGCACCTTCACCAACTCCTCATCCACCATTTTCATTAGCATCTTTTGCCCTTCCTCTATCCTCTTCATTAGGCGCTCACGTAACTTCTTCAGCTCCTGCATGTAAAAGACATTAATCAAGTAAGTATATACAACAACAAGTTCACTATGGAAAATGACACCTTCACTATGACATATTGACAAGTTCAGTAAACCAGATTACAATTCAGGTATGGCAGATCACAAGTTCATTATATATACAAGTTCATTATATAGAATTACAAGTTTAGTAAACAAAATCACAACTTAGGTATGGCAGATCACAAGTTTATTGTACCGAATGACAACCTCAGTAAACCAGATTACAATTCAGGTATGGCAGATCACAAGTTCATTATACAGAATTACAAGTTCAATAAACAAAATAACAACTTAGGTATGGCAGATCACAAGTTTATTATACCGAATGACAACCTCAGTAAACCAGATTACAATTCAGGTATGGCAGATCACAAGTTCATTATACAGAATTACAAGTTCAGTAAATCAAATCACAACTCACGTATGGCAGATGACAAGTTCATTATACGAATGACAAGTTCAGTAAACCATATCACAACTCACGTATGGCAGATGACAAGTTCATTATACCGAATGACAAGTTCAGTAAACCATATCACAACTCGTGTATGGCAGATGACAAGTTATCATACCGAATGACAACATCAGTAAACCAAATTACAATTAAGGTATGGTAGATCACAAGTTCATTATACAGAATTACAAGTTCAGTAAATCATATCACAACTCACGTATGGCAAATGACAAGTTCATTATACCGAATGACAAGTTAAGTAAACAAAATCACAACTCACGTATGGCAGATGACAAGTTCATTATACCAAATGACAAGTTCAGTAAACCATATCACAACTCGTGTATGGCAGATGACAAGTTGATCATACCGAATGACAACATCAGTAAACCAAATTACAATTAAGGTATGGTAGATCACAAGTTCATTATACAGAATTACAAGTTCAGTAAATCATATCACAACTCACGTATGGCAAATGACAAGTTCATTATACCGAATGACAAGTTCAGTAAACCATATCACAACTCACGTATCGCAGATGACAAGTTCATTATACCGAATGACAAGTTCAATATACAAAATCACAAGTCAGTCTACCTATTGATAAGTTCAATATGGCCAATCACAGCATAAGTATTGCGAATAACAACTTAAGTTTGCCAAATTACAACTTAACAATGACAAAGCTCTATGTCACTATAGCAAATCAGAACTTCAGTATAGGAAATGACAACAATACTATGGCAGATAACAAGTTCAGGTTACGAAATAAAAACTTTAGTTTACCAATTATACCACATACCGGGTCCAAAAACTCTACAATTATCCTCTCTTCTTTCCCTGTCACAGCTTCACTGCCTTTTCCTCCATACATAATTCCCCTAACACTCTTCCTCTCCTTGCTGGCCAATTCTTTTATCTTCTCATCAGTCCAGTATTCAATTGCAGTAGTGGACTCTCGGCCAACAGGCGTGTTTAGGTTAAAATTCTCACCAAAAAAAAGCTGCAAGCCAGCCACATATATACAACATTAACGTTATGCACATCGGTAATCAAATGCAAACACAATGACAAATAAAATAGTCATACCAGAAGTAAGTATATGCAGCCACCAACAGTGCTACTCCCCTGCCCTTCATTGCCCCGCCTGTACCCTTTGACATAGTCTCCCATTTCTTTCCAGAGGTCCTTTATAATATAGGTAGCCCAATCATACTTTCCAAAGTCATCCATTGTGCAGCGCATGACTCTAACCAACTTCTCACTCACTTCTGAGCTTGAATTCGGACATAGAAAAGTACCCAGGGTGTATAGCACAAATAAAAACTCGAATCTGTGATCCTCCTCCCCTGAAACAATGTCGTTTAGTATTTTGCTGAATGACACTTTCCGATATTCATTTCTCAACTCCTGATACGTAGCATCACTCTCATCAACTTTAGTTTTCACCTCCTCCCCACCGTGACGGATTCCTAGCAGTTGCTCAACATCTTCTGCTCCTATTTCCTCTGATTTGCCCCTGATTGTAAATTGATGCGTTGGCGGGTCATATGATCTCAGCATGGTCACAATGAGATCACGGGGTAGTCTCTTTAATCCAACCTTCAACAGCCTCCCGAAGCCCATCCTCTCAACCCTCTCCCTTAAGTCTTCATTATTGTTCACAAAGTGCAGTAATTTTCTTAATCCCTTCAGGGACACCCGGGTTAGAAATGATGGGACATGTTTCTTTTTCTCCTCTTCTCCCTTTTGTGCCCTTCTTTTCTTCACCTCCTCGGTGTACCTCATCTTCTCTTCAGCGGCCAGAGCTTTCCATGCATTTGACGCAGCATCTCTTTTTTGTTTGGCTGTCATGTCAGGGTCAGCTATTGTGGCCATAAACTCACTTCTGAATAACACCCAACCGTTGTGTGCCTTTTTTGATCCAGAGGCTCCTTCTGATGCCATCTTCCTCTTCCTGCAAAATATTCAACATACAATCCTTCACAACCACATTTACTAACTAACTATCACCTCTGTTAACAACCTATTCTGTAACCAACAGCCTTCTTACATCACCACCATTTACTTCTTATTTCGAAACATGAACTTGTAATTTCATATAAGCAAGTTGTTAATTTCTCAAAGTAAACTTGTTAGTCTCAACTACTTCTCATGCTTGTTATTTCTCATCATTAACTTGTCATTTATAATTATCAACTAGTTATTTTACATTATAAAGTTCTCCATTTGTCATAATCGCCTTTCTTATTCCCAACTTCTTATTGTCATTTTTAAACTTGTCATTTCCTATTGTTAACTTGTTAGGAACCCATGGCAACCTTCTTATTCCCAACTGCTCAATAACTTGTTATTCATTATATTCAACTTGTTATTTTCTATTACCAACTTGTCAATTACACATTCTTATTTTGCATTATCAACTTGTCAATCCCCCTACTTCAATTTTGTCATTTTAAACGACACTATCACTTCAACATCTCTTCAGATCAATTAATAGTTAACCAATTCAATTTGCCCTTTACCCATTCAAGTGTCGTCATTTCCCAAACTAATCTTGTCATCCTCCTAACTGATCTTCTAATTCCCTTCCCACCCAAACCCATTCGCCCATCTTCTTCCACAGATAACCATTTTTCGCCAATCAGTCACAGCATATTCAACAGAAAAAACATATATATACGTTCCTGCCCTAAACGCATTCCCTTCCCTCTCGTTAATGTATCACACAGGCAGCAACGAACACAAACAAACTAAAGCTTGAAACTTACCACCAGATTTTGTCGCCAAATGCCGCTGTTAACTTTGATAGCCACACACGACTGTCACGATGCCTCTACCTCCTCCCTTGCCTTTGATGATGTCGATAGATCACTATTCCAGCACGACTCCGTTCTCCTCTCCCACAGCAAATACACTCTTCTCTCACACAATACTCCTATCGCCGCAAAATGGAAACAAACTCTTGCGCACAAATAAACAGAGCACACCGCAAAGAATGGCCGACGGGATATACAAAGGAAGTTACCGCGCGTTTTGGGGGGGAGGAGAGCGCGGACAGGTTTTTTTCTTTTCAAATGAGTGAGGGGCATTTCAGCCATTTTCCTTACATTTCATAATTGCAAATTGGGACCGGGTCCTCTGCAGCAATTTCTCAAATTGGGGGTCCCTGATTGCCATTTTATATATTGGGGGGTCTTTATTTGCAATTTCCCCTAATTTTATTCCCTATAACTATCAATATAAGTATTAAATCAAAATCAAAGCAGCCAAGCCATTTACAAATTCAATGGCTCCACTCTGTTTTCACCGTTCTATGAACAGTAACGATCAACTCTATGAATAGTACCGGCTTGTATGTGCTTCGTGGCCCTTTCTCTTGAGCGACAGATTTAAGTTTTAAATTTTGAAAATCCCCCTCCCATTTATCCCTTCTTCTCTCTCTATACCCCTTCTTTTCAAGTTTGCTTTTCTTTTCATACACTCTTCTCTGCTTTCTGAGCTTGCCATTGCTGTTGGAAACTCCTCATCTATCTAACCTAGAATATCGTACGCTAAGTTCAAGGTGGGATTTTCTGCCCACCTTCTCATTTTTTTTTTTAATTCCGGCTTTCTTCATCTTCTATTTCATCGTAGTGAGTAAGCAGCTTACAAGAGCATTTATTAGACAACAAAGGCTCTATGCTAATGTCATGAAACGGTTAATTTTTCTCCTTCCTGATACGTTCCGGCAATTTTTTGAAGGTTTAGATATAATTTAACTCCATTGCTTAAGCTTTCTTGATGGCCCTTTATTCCAGTATTGTATGCTTAGTTTGAAATCGTTACTTATAATATATGTATTTTCTATAATTTGACAGGTTCTTGGCGAACGCAATTGATTCCTCATTATCACTTCTAAGATGTGCCTAAAGAACTCACCGCTGAAATCGTCGATTCTGATATTTTTCTTCTGGGGCTTCTACTGCTTTCAGTGCATTATTTGCCTCCGACCTTGAGTTCTTCCGACATTTTGTCCTCCACTCCCCCCCTCAAAAAAAAAAAACCTAATGCTGGTCTGTAAGTATTATGATGCTTGAATCCATAGGTTAGTTCTTCTATTGTTTTAAATGCTATTATCACTTTGCTATATTCGGCTAACTTATTTTTAGGCTGCCCAATGTTTGGTTCGTCTAGATTGAAAAATGGGGAACGCTAAAATTATAGCATGCTGCAAAATACGTTTGTGATAGGGGTTTTGTTAAAATGCACGTATGAAATTTTGTTTGGGTGGTGCTTTTTTTTTTTTTTGGGTATATCGTCTCTATTTGTTTTTCCGCATGGCTTGGAAAAATGGTGCAACAATTTGTAATCTTTGATAGTTAGAATAAAATTATTGAGTGAATGAAGATTGTTTTGATAGATGCATATTTGTTGCTTTTCCGTTGGTTAGTGAATAGAAGATGACACATTTTAAAAATATGGAAGAGCATTACTTTATAGCGCTTTAGAATTCACAGTTCTTTTATTTCTGAACTCCCAGAGAAGAGCATTGCTTTAAGAAGACTGATTTCAAATTTTTACCGACAGTTCTGTAAATACCATCTCAAAAAGAATGTGATTGGATCATACCTCTATCATTATTTGCTGAGACTTTATATTAAGGACTAGAGGAGAAATATTTTTACCTTTTGAAAATATTCCTGGTCTCCTTGAGTACGTTCTAAAGCAAGAAGTGAATTAACAACCTGAGCTATGTTATGACAAAGTATTTGTTAGTTTGGGCACCAATATGTTGAAACTTTAGCATCTTAAAAGATCAAAGATCGCAAATATGTAGTGGATGTCTGTCTGTTCATTCCTTCCAGGGAAAAAAGTAAAACAAAAAAAAAGTCTGCAAAAAGGAACAAAATATACGAAATAAAATAAAATGTAAATCTTGATGGTAGGTGGTGGTTGTTTGAGTTCTTCATATTCTATAGCAAAGTAAACAGATATAAAGGTAAAACAAATCAGTAGACCGTTACTCTTGGATAGCTAACTTAAATATTGCAACATGAACCACATCTATGGTATTTCTGGTAAATTTGACGTCAAACCCTTCTCTATTCGTAGGAGGAATTAAGAGAGCTTGCAACTGCAAGGAAAAGGTTCAGTTATTATATTTTTTTTCATTTCCTTGCCTGTTTATTCATGTATTGTTTGTTTGATACAATGTTAGCTTAATGATATCGGTTTAATGATAACTTTGGTTACAAGTTGCTGATAGACTTACCAAGAGAAAAAAAGCTTATTCTAGAATGTTCGCATAGTTCTCGGAGTTGTGGTACATGTTGCTGTACTGTGCAAAACAAGATGGGGATGGTTGTCAGATATTACGTGGTCAAAGTTTGCTTATTTTCCTCTGCAGGTAGGAATAATAACCATGGTATTGGCTTGGAAGAATCCGTTCAAGAGTTATGCAAAACATAATCACAGGTCAGATTAAAGACATATATGGTGTTCAAGTGAGTTTAGAGGCGTCTGGCCGATTGAATTGTGTAAAAGATCTTTGATCATTGGGCTTAATTTTGTCGCTTTCATAAACACCATATATGGTGTTCAAGTGATTTGGAGGCGTCTGGCCTATTGAATTGTGTATAAGATCTTTGATCATTGGGCTTTATTTTGTCCTTTTGGAGAATGGCACTAATAATCTTTTAAGAAAAAAGCTTTTACGGGTTTTTCATAAGGAAAGATTATTTCTAACTTCTATACATAGCATATTATCCTGTGTGCAAGATTAATTTACTTTTTATGCAAATACAAAAAGCATATTGGCAAATAAATGTTAAGCTTTTGCATAAAGTACAATCGCTTAGTAAAATGTTATTGTAAAATAAAATTTTTGGAAAAAAAAGAAAAAATTACAAATAAAGACCGCTAATATATAAAATGACAATCAAGAACCTTGAATTTAAAAAATTACTATAGACGACCTGGTCTCAATTTGCAATTATGTAATGTTGATTAAAAGACAAAAATACCCACCGGTTTCGGATATCCTTCTCTGCTCTGTCCTCACAAACTCATATCCTTCTCTCCTCTCTCCCACTTCGTCCTTCTCTTTCAACTAAGCATTTCAACTAAGCATTTGAGGCAATACATTGAATAGATTACATTTGTGTTTGTGTTGAGTTGTGGGCGGGTAGGATTTTTTTTTTTTTTAAGCTCTTTCAACCAAGCAAGCAAAGCACCCGCCTGGGTCCCAATGTCTTTTATCTTTGAAGTTAGAAAGGGATGAACAAATAATCAATCAGCCCAACAAGAAGCACAAAAATTGAAATCCAAGCTTTTCAAGTATAAGCTAACAACTCTTAACATCTTTGTCATAGGGTTTGAAGAGGATGCATTTTGAGAAACAGGTGAGTGAAGCCTAGCCTACCAATAACACGCCCTCATTCAGATGATTATATGTTATCAAATGATAATTATATGTTACTTTATCTATGAATGCAGTTATCAAATGATTGCATGGACTTGATATTGTCAAGAAATGTTCAAAATTAGCTTTGATGTCATCGATGTTAGATGGTTATTTGGACTTGTTATTTTCTATTAGAGACTTATAATTTCCTATTCTAGACCTGTAATTTTCTATTTTAGACTTATAATTCTCTATTTCGGACTTATTATTTTCTGTTGTAGACTTGTAATTTCCTATATCAGAGTTGTGATTTTTCATTTCAGGCTTATTATTTTTTATTATAAACTTGTTATTTTCTATTATAGACTTGTTATTTCCTATTGCAGACTTGTTATTTTTTATTGCGGATTTATAATTCCATATTGCAGACTTGTAATTCTTATTACAAACTTGTTATTTCTTATTGTAGAGTTGTAATTTTCTATTACAAACTTGTCATTTCCTATTGCAAACTTTAATAACAAGTGTTGATTTAATGCTAATGAGATGCCAATGACAAGTTTATTAAGATGAATAACAAGTTTAGTAACACAAGTGACAAGTTCTGATAAGCATTTGATAGAAATTTAAGTTTGTGCATTAAAATGACAATTTTCACATTCTTGGATGAGTGACAACTTCAGTAAGGCTAATGACAGCTTTAATAATTCGAATGACAACTTATGATAATCTACTCATACAAATTTGAGTTTAAACTGTTAAAATGACAAAATTTTCATATTTCTTTACGAAATGACAAGTTCAGTTAGTCAAATGACAACTTCTGATAAGGTTTTCATACAAATTTGAGTTTCTTTGTTAGAATGATTGAATTTTCATATTTATTTATGAAATGACAAGTAAGTAAGGCCAATGACAACTTCTGATAAGCTACTCATACAAATTTGAGATTTTCTATTAAAATAGCTAAATTTCCACATTTATTTATAAAATGACAAGTTCAGTTGGGCCAATGACAAGTTAAGTAAGGCCAATGACAAGTTCTTATAAGATTTTGACACAATTTTAAATTTCTCTGTTGAAATCAGAATTTGCAGATTTCCTTGATAGTAAGCACTTCTGAGATAGGATTCATGACAAGTTCAATTAGGCAATACAAGTTAAGTAAGACTAATAACAAGTTTCGATAAGGTTTCATATAACTTTAATTTCTCTGTTGAAATGAGTAAATAGAAAAAGAAGAGATCCTGTAATGTGAGGGGGGAGAAAGAAGCAAAACTAAAATGAAGGAAACCAAAACCAAGGGGGGAAAAAAAACACCATCTTGGGTGCCCAAGCTCCTCCGCTTTGATTCTTTCCCCATGGTTGCTAAAAAAATATTGCTCATCATCATCTTCATGGTCGCAGATCTAGGATGCCCCAATCTTATATCATTCTTCCCAACCTAGCGGCATCCATCGAAGGGCGGGCCCAATCATGCAATCAAAACCCCATTCGAGCTTCTGTGATTGAGCAACACTGTGAAGGGGCCAATCCAATTCTCCCAACCAAACTGCACATGTGCTTTCGATTCTTTTTGTTCCATGTCAATATTTTGTGCAATGGGAGAAGGCTTGTGTCCAAGCTCTTCAACACACGCATGAAATTGATAGTTCCACCTACCCCTTGAGTTCATCTTCGCTTTGCTTGTCACAGTGGAACTTAGAGCGAACAAATAGTTGGATGTAGTGACAGAGCAATGGGGATCTATACTTTGTCATCGATCCAATTTTTACCAGAATTTCTCATCCATAAATCCCCATAACTCTAGTCCCCATTGAGCACTGCCCTTCCATTAATCTTCCCAGTTAAAAAATCTCTTTCATTAGTCGATAAAATCGCTCCACCATGCTCCCTAAACTAAATCCCCACTAACTCACACATACCCCACATAGAGCCTTGAGGTCACTAGAAAAGAGAAAGAAATGAGATGATGGAAGAAAGAAAAGGAGGGGGAAGAGAGAACTCCTGGATTGGACCACAGTGGGAAAGAGAAGAAGATAAGGTGATGGAAGAAAGAGAAGAAGGGCAATTTAGTCTTTTTTCTTACATTTCATAATTCATATTTGAGACCCGATCTCTCAGTAATTTTGTGAATTGAAGTACCTAAATTGCAATTTTATATTTTTGAAGGTCTTTATTTGCAATTTTCCCACAAAAAAAATGAAATTATAACGTTTTTTTTTAAAAAAAAAAAAAGTAGACCTTGCGCCAATTTATATATCTATAATGATATATGAGATTGGAAAAGAGATAGCAATTATATTGAGTCAAAATGTAATCCTGATTATTTTTGTTTTTAAATAACTATTTTTGTATAGTTCAAATGGTTAATTAACTTGTCACAATGCTATTATATTTTTTTTTTAGTGAAACAATGCTACTATTTTTCGTCAACAATATCTGACTCTAAGGATTAAATATAAGCCAATTTCAATATCATCATCTATAGATGAAGTGGTTTATATTGTGTTGATGTTTTTGGGGATAATATAGATTACAATAAATTGCTATTATTAATTATACTAATTGAAGTAAATTTTTCCCGTGCATCGTACAAGAGAAAAAGCTTGGAAATTTCTTTGTAAACGAAATAATAAAGAAATTAAAGCACCAAAACCATTAAAACAACTTTAATACTTTTCCCTATAACTAGTTTGAAAATAAATAAAGTTGTTGGTGATTAAAAAAAACATAAAATAAATAAGTAAAGTTTAGTTGTCTCGCAACTTCGTCCCACTTTCGAAATATTTATAAAGAGAAAAAGAAAGGAAACCCACGAACAAGCAAATGGCCGAATGATGATACAAAGAAGCAACACCGCAATCCATAGGAGTGACAAACACGGCACAACTTGACTTGTTGACTAGGAAGGCTGAGATAAATTCTGATCTACAAATTCTGAAGCTGCCATTTTTGAGACCAAGCTTTGCTTATGAGCTATTTCTTTGGCGCTTCCCTCCACATCCAGGTTCTTTCTTCTCTTTGAGTTGGTTTGTCCCATGAATCCATCATCCTTCTATTCTTCTGCCGGCAAAAGATTTGTTGTTTTATTTCTTCTCCTAGTGCTGTTGATTCGATCTCCTCCTTAGCTCCCTTACTGTCGTACATCTAATAAAACTAACATTTGAATTTCCTTTATACTTCAACTTCTGGAAAAACAAAGTCCTAAAACCTTCAAAGATATGGACGCACTTGATCTATTGATCTAGCTCTTCATTTATTTATTCATATTTTTCTTAATGAAGTAAGTGACTGATTTATTTATTTTATTTGAAAAAGTGAAGTGTTTCTTTCATTCACCTTAATCACTCTCCATTTCGTTGTTATGCGTGAAAAAGGCAATCAGCAGGGCGTATTCTCTTTTCTCATGATCCATTTGCTTAATCCCACCCGATATCCAGTTTTACTAGTACTTTCCCTTGTGTCTGTGTTAATCCTAAAAAAATTCATTATATTCAATTATTAATTATTCATTAAATTTGTTTGAAGAACTTGATTGAAGAGGAAGACGTCTGCAAATTAAGCTCGAAACTGAGATGTTTTAGATGCTGTGAGCTAATTAAGCTGACATCCGCCAGGTTAGTACGGTCCATTAATTCTTTTCTTTTTCTCTTCCACTTGCTTCATCCTATTAAAATATACTGTTTTGCAAGCATTTCCCTAAAATTTTCGGTGTTTTCTTCTCACGGGACAAATACTGCAAAAAAAAATTTGTTAATTTCTTCTTTCTTCTAGTGTTTATAATATCGTCCCTAGCTACCTCTCTTGCTGAAAGCTGAAGCTAGAAACTGCTATCACAACCATTGCTTCAATGCTCCAAAAAGCTTTATTGATCCTATTGGGAGTATTAATTTCCAAAACTATCAGACTCATCTCTTGTTCGCGTAATGGTAACCAACCTGTTGCTATTGATGCCAGGTAGCTACCTTCTTCTAAATAACCTCGCACTCTTTATTTGATTGTTTGATTTTCTCCAACACATAACGCAATATCTGTTCACTGTTTGTTTCTTCCTGTAGCTTTGAAGACGATATTATTTTAACTCAAACGGTTTCTCCTCGTGCTACCAACTATGATGTGTTCCTTAGCTTTAGAGGAGAAGACACTCGCCACAATTTTGCAAGTAATCTTTACAAAGGACTTCGAAATGCGGGCATTCACACTTTTATGGATCATGAACTTCGAAAAGGAGAACCAATCTCACCGGTTCTTCTAAGAACTATAGAGGAATCAGAAATATCTGTAATTATTTTCTCTGAGAATTATGCTTCTTCAACTTGGTGTGTGGATGAGCTTGTTCATATATTAGAATGCAAGCGTAAATTTGGAAGGGTTGCAATACCTATTTTCTATGATGTAGATCCCTCAGACGTACGCAAACAAAATGGGAATTTTGGAAGAGGATTTGATGTATTGAAGCAAAGATTTAAAGACAACCAACAAAAATTGCAAAAGTGGAGAAATGCTTTATTCCAATCCACAGGTCTCTCTGGATGGGATTCTCACAGCACCAGGTAGCTTCAAAAATGTTCCTTTTGTTGTTGGTTCGGGGGATTTATTTAATTAATTTTTAGAATCCCAGCAAATTATTGTTGTTATTTTTATTTCTCTATTCCTATTTTCTCCTATTAAATATGCATTTTCTTTTGATTGACATTTGTGCTAGACCTGAATTCAAACTTATTGAAGAGATTGTCAAGGATATTTTGAGGAAGTTGAGCTATGCGTCATCATCTCATCTTGAAGGACTCATTGGCATTGCTCGACATATTAAAAACATTCAAAGGCTTCTGAGTGAGGCTCGCATTGTGGGAATATGGGGTATGGGCGGTGCTGGTAAGACCACAATTGCTAAAGCCATATTTCAAGAGTTGAAAGCTCAATTTGATGCTTTCTCCTTTATTGAAAATGTCAAAGAGCAATTAAAAAGAATTAGTTTGGATGAGTTGCAGAAGAATTGCCTCAAAGAATTATTAAAAGATGAGGATATTAGCATCTATGAAATAAAATCCACTTTTGTGAAAAATAGGCTTCAGAACAAAAAAATTCTTCTTATACTTGATGATGTGGACAATTCAATAGTAGCGGTAGATTTAACCAAGGTACTTGATTGGTTTGGAGAAGGAAGTAGAATTATTATCACATCAAGGGACATGCAAGTGCTGAAGAATGCTTCTGCGGCATTTTCAACATATCATGTTCCGGATTTGGATTTTGAAGATGCTTTTCATCTCTTCAATTTGAAAGCATTCAAGCGAGATGAGCCATCTAAAGGTTACATGGAGTTATCAAAATCAGTAGTGGAATATTGTCACGGAAACCCATTAGCCCTAGTAGTGCTGGGTTGCTTCCTCTATGGCAGACAAAAAGAAGAGTGGGAAAGTGCTTTGGAAAAACTAAATCAAGCTCCACCCAAGGACATTGTTGATGTTCTGAAGTTGAGTTTCGATGGACTTGATGACAAACAGCAGAATGTGTTTCTTGACCTAGCATTCTTAATCAAGCAAGGAGTTCGTATTTCTATGAACCTAATGAGACAATTATATTGCTCTTCTATGCATATTGAGATAAGTGTTCTAAGAGAAAAGTCCCTCATTTCATTTAATAATCATAATGATGTCATTGGAATGCATGATCTTGTGAGGGAAATAGGCCTTGAAATTTCAAGCCAACAATTATTCTCTGGTCGTAAAACCCCTGTTCGACTATGGAGGCACGAGGACATTTATCACTTTTTCCACAATGACCAGGTAATACTTCATTTTTTAGTTATATTCTTTATTCTCTTAATAGTTAATATTTCTTTTTCTTGTGATGTATTTTCTTAAAGTTATTTGTTTATTCATTAAATTCTTCGATAAGTTTTAATATTTGCCCAAATAGACCCCTTTTTTTTCTAAAAGAAAACTCCTTTCTTTGACTAAAATTGGTTGGAGCAAAGCAAAGTCTTTTTATTAGGTGTGATTTTTTTAAGCTTAAAGTTTTAGTTTTATATTTAAAAATTTTAAAAATATATTGGGTCTTATATTAAATATATTAACTACGCTAGGTGTTATATTGAATTTGGTCCTAAATATATTAGGTGTAATTTTAAGCTTAAACTTTTAAACTTTCTATTAGTTCTTAGATAAAATATGATTAGGATGATGTAAGACGTATTTTTAAATTTAGAGCATGAATGATCTTCAATAAATTATAAAATTATCCACGAAGATTGACATTTTTTATATTAATTAATAGCAGTAGCAAAGATTGATGTAGTATGAAAGTGATTGCGTGTATACTTACGCACTGCACATGCATACTCACGCATTTTCTTGATAAAAATTCAGTAATATTGCAAAAAGGGACAAATTATGAAATTTAAACGTAAATTTTTTTTAAAGAGTTTTATATATGCCAGGCGGTTTTATATACATTTAGAAATTCCTAAAAGAAATATATTTAATTGTCCTATTTATTATTTGATCACCTTTTACATATTACCGATTTTTTTCCCATAATTTCATCAGTAGGCGGCTGAAGGAATTCAATGCTCATCATTAGACATGAAGAAGATAAACAGGATTGCAATAACAATTAGTAATATTCAGAAGAATTATAATTTAAAATTTTTTAGGACTTTCGTGATGCGTTATTTTAAAAGATAAAATTAGTGTACAAAGAACTTTCACTAAGTGATATATGCATACGCGTGTTGAGCATAATTTACCCTTATTTGATGTTCAATGGGAAAATTAAAAAAAAAAAATTTCGCTTTTATAGTTATATTCTAAATATCTGCACATGCATATAGGTATATGCAACAGTGTGTCTGTTTATTTATTATTGTTGAGAAATTCATATATTAAGGGAAAAACATGAATTGTAAGGAATTTTGAATAAAATGAATATAGAGGTGTTAATTTGGATAACAGTTGATATATTTAATTGTTCTATAGTATTTATGGTCATTTTTTTAGGTAATGATAATTTTGTTTCCCTCAATTTGATATTATCACCAGGCGATTGAGGCAATTCGATGCATGTTGTTGGATGCAAGCAAGATAGAAAGCATCACATTGATGGCTAGCCATTTTCGAAGAATGCATTATTTAATGTCCCTTCAAGTTTGCAAGTCAGATCGAGGAAAGCCTTCAAAGTTGAATATTTGTGAGCCATTGGATTATCTTTCTAAAGAATTAAGGTTTCTTAGTTGGGAAGAATATCCACTACCATCTGTGCCATTACAATTTTGTGCTAAAAATCTCATTGAACTTAATTTGCCTAACAGTAATATCCAACAGCTTTGGGATCAGGTACGTATAGTTTCTCATATGTCATAATTTTTTTTTGTTGTGATTCTAAGAAACATTGACTAAAGTAATTCACAATGCAAATGTTTGCTTTATTACTATCTTTAAATTGATGGTAGTAGTAATTGTACTATCTGCGGAGAGTCCAACTGTTCTTGTAATGGGCATGAAAAAAATTGTTGAGTAAATTGTACATGCGTGTAGTTATGTAATTTATTTAACACTATTACTTTGTTTTTTTTCCCCCAGCAATTTCCAAATCTAAAGAAAATAAATCTATGGGATTCAAAAAATCTCAAGGTACTCCCAGATTTGTCTCAAGCCCCTAATATTGAAACTATATATCTTAATGGTTGCATCAATTTGGGTCAAATCCATTCTTCGACTGTCCCGAAACAGAATGTCAATTTATTTATAGAAGATCGTGGGCCGATGCAAATAAATGTCGGGGGCAGTATGAAAGGGAGAAGTTCATCAGGTTTAGTGATTATGCACAATTATTTAGATCTTGTCGATTTGACATTCAATAAAGTGACAATGAAGATGATAGTATGTGGCAAGATGATGTGTGGTGTTGGATTTGAGCATGTGACAATGCCATTGAAAGAGACGACAGAATTCATGAGAATGGGAATACAAAGTTTGGCGACTTTACTTCCATTTGTGAGGATAGTTGAATGGTTGGAGGGTCTAATTGAGTTTGGGCATGATTTCAACCAACATCATACCTATCATGTTGATCATCATTACAACAAAAAGACTACTTTAGTATTACTGTGAGGGTGAGGGGTGATAGAGGCAAAGGGTGTGTGGAAGATGATAAAGAAGAGGATGAGGATGATAGAGAAATGATTAGTGAGAATGAAAGAGAAATAAGTAGTAAAGGTGATCAAGTAGTAGAGATGACATTATTATTAATGGAAGATGAACAAGAAGAGGCCAATGAGGATGATAGTAGGATGGACGATACATTCTTAACAACACTACTTATTCCCAACACCATCTCTCGCTGGTCACTATTGATTCGACTGACATTAAAAGAGGGTGATAGTATTGGAAATAATAATGCAGGTTGCAGTAGCATCCCTCAAGTTTCAATATTCCTCAAATCACTTAATGAAGATTGCGGAAGGAGGATTCAGCCTCTCTTAGCAGTACAACTCTCTTCCCCACTATCCCCTTTGTCTCATCATTCTTTCACAGTCTTTTATAACTACTTGGAGAAGACGCTGATGCCCCAACATCCTCATTTTCTTCTTTTCAGCAGTGAATACGGGTTAAATAATTATTTTTGTGGTAATGACTTAGTTGTTCGCTTTATGAAGGACTAGTGATGATATTAATTATCATTTAAATTTTTCAGGTCATAAAATTATCAGTCTCATTTTTTTAATTACATATTAATATTATTTTTTTATGAAATATTAATTTTTCTGTTTTTTTAATATGTAATTCATGTACGGAGGGCTTCCTCATAACTTAATCACATAAAACTTGTTAATCTTATTTTCGCTTCACAATAACTGCACCTGTTGTGTGTGTTATTCTCCATGTGATGTGAGTATAATAACTAGCGTGACAAACAATTTCCTTACTAAGCAATTTTATTATGAGAAAGTAGAACGATTACTTATGAATTAGCTCAACTTGTAAATGTTAAAATGTTATGATATTTAAATTGTAAACTACAATAAAATAAAAGATATTTGTTTGATCAGCCACCGTCAATCATTCCAAGTTGATCAACGTGGTTAATTGCCATTGTGGTCATTTACAATTTTTTTCAAAAAAGAATTTATTTATACTTGGTTTTCTCACTTGAGATCTAGCAGTAATTTTCCCTTCATAATTTTCCCTTCATATTATATGAAATCAAAGATATATATAAATATATATATTGAATTGTGATTTATTGAGCCCTTCCTCACAACTTTAGAAAACACTCGAGAAATTATTAATCTTAACGTTTCTTTTCAATAATTGTTCTATCATTTGTTACTTTGTGCTCGTGTACATTGTATAACTTATTTAAAAACAAGTGGAGAAATAATTTTCTATTGCAAAGCAATTTCGTTGGGATTATTCATTATTTACTATACATAGAGTATCCTCCAACTTGTACTTCAAAAACATGTATAGCCTGCTTGCATAACATATATTTTACTAAATTAAACTATAACATAAAGTATTACCATAACTCATATTTTATTACAATAAGTTGTTTACTTAATGAAACGTCATTATTTTTTTCCAGCAAAACCACGTGTCTTTATTCATTAATTTGTCTGGTTGAATGATAATGGGAGAGTGAAAAATTTAATAAGCTTGATTTTTTATGAAAATGAAGTAGGGTTGAAAGATTTTAATTAATGCTTCTTATCTCTTACTCTTATAACTTCTCTCTGTTAATGGACGCACAGTGATACCTATCATTTTTTGACAACGACAAGGTAATAGTTTTTTTTAAAAAAAATTATTCTATATTTTATGCCCTTAATATTTGTTTATTCGTTAAAATTTTCAGTTAGTCTCAATATTTAACTTGAAGTTCCTTAGTTTTATTTGTTTGCATGTTGAAATTTTTTTAGTTAGACTCGACCATAAAAAAAAAATCCTTTCTTTAAATATGACTAAAATTGTTTGGGGCATGCATATATGTTAGGTGTGATTTATTAATCATATTTGAAATAGTTATTAAGTTTTGGAAATGTGGTACAAGTAGCACTAGGACTAGCAGTTAATTGACGAAAGTTCCTGTTTACATTGATTTTACTTACAAGGTTGATAAATCTTTCCAAGTTCATGGCATAGGTAATAACACCAATCTCTTCACTAAATTACTGAATTTATCCTAGTTACATAGAGATTTAATAAAAAAAAGTATAACATATATGCGTAGTCCTTTAAATCTGCATCAAATTTTAGTTTGATCTTAAATTTAAGATGTTAAAATTAAGAAAATAAAAGTACACTTTAAAAACTCAAGAAATTAAAATAAAATTTGATGTAAACTTAAAGTATAAAGCATGTAAAAAAGTGGGGGAAAATAATCACTTGCTATTAATGTATGCAACTTAAATAAGATTTATCTAAGTCTGCATCATCCCACATAATGGAATTGCTATTCAATATGAACGTAATGGATAACTATGCCGCACTTGGACAGATTGCTCATGGAAATATATGTTGTCCACGAAAGCTAAATACGTTAAGAACATAGAAGATTTGAAACTAAAACC